GTAACTTTTTCAAAAATGAACATATGAATATAATTTTTTTTTTATAGATGCTTGATGTCTTTACCTATCATTTGGTATATTTTTTTTGTAAATTTGACCGTTTTTCTGCCCACAGGGGGGAATTTAAAATGACAACTTTTTCACAAAAAATTAACTTTTTCAACTTAACTTTTGAAAATGTTCCGGAAGGTCTGACACTTTTATATATATCTTAAATTAAAGCTAATGTAATATACTTTAATTTGAAAAAAAAAAATTTGACCTCTGGACTTGTCTTCACGGCGAAAATGGCTACCGAATGCTATTTTCGTGTGAAAATTCTCGATTTTATTATTTATATTATATTTAACTTTATAATGCTATAACTTATTGAAAAGTTTATGGATCCACACAATTTTTTTATGAGAAATAATATTTTTTAATAAACCCTTTTTCATTCGACATACTTTATCTTAATCGAGATATTAATAAGGAACCAGCAGATCAAGTAGCTTTTGGAATAAAACACCAATTTTTTTAAAATTAAACACTATCTAAAGATTTGCATCGAAGCGTTTATTTTTGATAGTGATTTTAATAACTATCAGATATCATTATACTTGACCCAACTATGCCACGTCATCACTGTGCTGCGACCCCTCTGTGCTGGGTTTTTTAAACCTAAAGGGATAAAACAAAAAAAAAAATTACTACTACATATTATAGTAGAGTGTTTTGAATCAAGAAACATTACGGATTTTCTTTAGAAAAATTGAATATAGTCAATAGTTTCTGAGAAAGTAAGTGTCGTAATTGATCACTCTGTAGACGAATATTCGTTTTGATTTCAGGTCTCAGAAATATTGAATTATAATAATCTTAAGTTATTTTATAATTAATAAAAACTTTCTATTTTTTTATTATAATTAATTTTAAGTTGACAAACTTAAGGTTGAAATTTTATCTATTATGCTATAAGTTATGTTGTTTTAAGCCATTAAAGTTTTTTTTATTTCTGTAAATTTCTATTGTAAAAACAACTAATATAAAACTAATAACTATTTAATATATTTCAAGATTTTGGAACATACTCCTGATTCACATCCAGATCGTTTGCATTTAAATGAAGCGATTTCCAAAGCAGAAGAAATATGTCTTCAAGTATAAAAATATAAAAATATCTTAAAATATAAATTGAATTTTGGAATTTGTTGATTTATAGGTGAATGAAGGTGTTCGAGAAAAAGAAAATTCTGACCGATTGGAATGGTTACAATCACATGTGAATAGCGATGGTTTAACAGAACAACTTATATTTAATTCCTTAACAAATTCTCTAGGGTCTAGGAAGTTTATTCACTATGGTAGTTTATCAAAAACCAAAAGTGGTAAAGAACTTGTAGGTTTCCTCATGAATGATATGTTATTATTGGTTAAACCTGTAAAACCGGCTACATTAAATGGTCAATCGTTTACTTTTGAGAAGTTTGCAGGAAGTTCCTTTAAAATTTACAAACAGGTATTTAATTATAGGCCAGTCAACAAAGGAAAAATGACCGAAAAACTTCCCAACCAAATTTTTTTTTTTTTTTAAAGTTGAATTAAGATATAAATAATAACATACTAAAAGTCCTCATTGATTGGAATTGAGCTTTTTTTACAGCCTTGCAAAAGTTCAAAAATTGAGCTTTTTTAATTTTTTCAAAAAATATTTAACATATAATATTTAAATAACAATATTTAAATAAACAACAATATTTAACAAAAAAAAGTTTCGTACAAAAGTTTCATTTCTATAAATGTTCTTACAGCTTCCGATTCTTCTCTCCTCATAACATGACCAAACCATCTAAGTCTATTTTCTCTCATCTTATCCACGATTGACGCTACACCTATACTTCTTCTTATATCCTCGTTCCTTATCCTATCTTCTCTAGTCACACCACTTATCCATCTAAGCATTATCATCTCTGCTACACTCATTCTCTACTCTACTTTCTTATCAACCGCCCAACACTATGAACTATACATCATAGGTGTCCTCACTATAGTATTATAGAATTTACTTTTCAGCCTCATTGGAATTCTTTTATCGCATAAAACACCAGACGATTCTCTCCACTTCAACCACCCGCACTTAATCATGTATCTTACATTCTCGTCAATACCACCGATTGTTTGCACAACTGATCCTAAATACTTAAAACTTTCTACCTCCCCATTCACGTTCTTGCTTATTGTCACTGATCTCCTCATTTCACATACCTCATATTCAATTTTTTAACCCAGCCAGAATTTCTGGTAATGATAAAATTAATTGTCATATAGTGTATAAAATTGGTCTTGTTCTAGTAAACTCAATGGTGAATAATAACTTTCATGATATAAATCTTAAAAGGTCAAATAAAGTTATAGCTCTACCTTCAATAACTTCTATTGTTAAAATTAGTAATGAAATAATTAAAGTAAACCCATTGCTACTATTTCAACTAATCGCTATTTAAAAAAAAAAACCAGCAGTGTCCCGGCACAGTGTGTATAATTGGGTGCAGTATAGATGATATGTGACAGTGATTAAAATCATTATCATAAAAAAACGCCTTGATGCAAATCTGTAGATAGTGTTTAATTTTAATGGATTATTACAAAAGCTACATAATCGCCTATTTCCAATTTCCTTATTTATATTCTAAATACAAGTTATATGCATTACTAGTGCAAAGTATGTAATCGATGGAGGATTTCTCCTCAATAAAGTTATTTGACAAATATATCAAACAAATTTTTTTGACCATTTTCTTATTCATCTTCCCATTCTAAATTTTGATAGAATATATCTTCAACAAAAGTACAATCTTCTTAATCTTCAATCTTCATTTCTATTGAATTTGTACGCCACTGACCTTTGCAATGTTCACATATAATAGAACATTTAAGTCCTGTTTTTCGGCAGCCACAATTTTTACCAGCTCTAGCACCTGACTAAAGGCCAATACGTTTTATGACAATTATCTTTATCATTACCAGAAATTCCGGTGGAAATTGACATAATATAATTGTTATTTGGGAATGTACAATTTAGCGTTTGGTTGGGTTTAAAAAATATAGCGTCAAATTAATTACCCACTCTATCGGTTGTATCTTAATATACACTACGCTTTAATGATACTATAAATAAATAAATTCACACATACACACATATGCATTTATAACATTGTGTCTAATGTATAACATTATAACATGATAAAAAGTAACCGTAAAATAAAAAAAATGGAAAATAAATTTTAGTACTCATATTAAATGTAATGTAATTCGAAAAATATTTGTTTAAATGAAAAAATATAAGATAATTTTTTTTCTTTAAAATTGTCTTTTAAACAACTTTTATACGAAACTTTTTTTTGCATGTTAAATATTTTTTGAAAAAATTAAAAAAGCTAATATTTTTAAACTTTTGCAAGGCTGTAAAAAAAAAGCTCAATTCCAATCAATGAGAACTTTTAGTCTGTCATTATTTATATCTTAATTCAACTTAAAAAAAAAAAAAAATTTGGTTGGGAATTTTTTCCGCTATTCGCCAAAATTACTCCTTCATTGACTGTTCTATTAGTAGTTTTTGTTGTTTTATAATTTGTATAATGAGTAGTATTTTCTAGCCTTTTTTACTTACTCAAATAAATATTATTGAGTCAATGAACGATTGTGCCGAATTTCGCCTAGAACATGATAATTCATCTATACTACTGACAGCTCCGACATTAAGTGAAAGAAATTTATGGTTAAAAAAATTAAATGAAGCAAAACGTATTTTAGTTGCAAGTGAAAAAAATCAAAAACAGTTAATGGAATCAAGTATGTTTTATAAATTTAAGTATGATCATTAGTAAAAACAAATAATGTCCTAAATTTAAAAATCCAAAAAAAACGTCAAATTTAATATTTTTCCTCAAAGTAAAACAAAAATGTATTTATTAAACACTTAATAGTTATTAATAATAATTAGTATTTTAATTTTTGTATATTTGGTAAAGGATTTTTAAAAAGCAAAACTTAATATCCATAGTAGCTGATAATATATTAGATAAAATCATTTTTTTCTTACCTATATATATATGTCAACTAATATTGTACTATTAACTGTTTATTCATAATAAACACATATTAGCTTCAATACGAAGCTGAGAAGGTATAAATTTTACCATGATGTCTTTTTTTTTATGTCTGTCACTACTTTTTCTCAGCTCTCACTGGACCGATTTCTTTCAACAATACGTCAAAAGATCACAAATCGTATCTAATTGAAGACATTACCCTTAAAAATTGAAAAATTTTCCCTCGTTCCCCGCAAATGGAGGAAATATTCAAAAAAATTACAAATTTAAAAATCGGTAAATTTTGTCATTTTTTTTCTTAAAACTTCCATAACTTTTTCAAAAATAATCAAATCGACATAATTTTTTTTTATACTAAAACCTTAGATATTTCCCTTTCATTTGATATCATTTTTTTGAAAATCTAATACTTAACCTGTTCATTGGGGGGATTTAAAATAGTAACTTTTTTACAAAAACTAACTTTTTCAACTTAATTTTTGAAAATGTTCCGGAAATACTGCGTCCTTTCAACAAATGTCAAATTAAAGCTTATGTTATGTACTATAAAATTTAAAAAAAATTTGTCCCGACGACCTATCTTCTATGCGCAAATGGCTATCGTATTCAAAAATAGCATATTTTTGTATTAAAATTCTGGGTTTTGTATTTTATTAGGGTAATACATTGACTTTCATGATTATTATATAATTTAATTGATATAGAATAAAGTTCATAAGACATAAGAAATTAAACTTATTAAAATTTTTTTGACTTTTTTAAAGTAGAAAAAGCAAATTTTAAATTTGAATCAGCTTAAATTGCTAATTTTTCATGCAACGAATAGTTGCCGAATCGGTAAGACTTGTGTCTTTCAGGCTTAGATACGACGTTCAAATCCGCCCGTGGCATTTAATATTTTGCATTTTTTTTGAGTTAGAAAAAATTTTCAAATCATTTGATATTTATCTCATTTAGATTCAATAACTTCAATAAATATAAAGGATCCTATCACTATAGTTTCCCCTCGTGAGAAGAAATTTATTTTCATGTTAATATTATTGTACTATGTAGTTTTTTTTGTGGCTACGATTTATTTTGCTAACCCTCACTAAACCTACTTTTTTCAACGATACGTCAAATGATTACAATTCGTATTTTGTTTAAGTTATTACTCTTAAAAATCGAAAAAATATTCCTTATTCAAATAATAAGTAGCTTAACCAGATTTTCCATACAAACAATTAAAATAATTCATTTCTAATGTTTACAAAGTATTTATTGTCGAATTAGACAAATGATATGATAAAAGTATCCAACTACAAAAGTAAATAATTTTACTTTGTAATTTATTAATTTTTTAACTCTATTCGTGTGTGTTACTAACAGTCTGTAATATTCCAAATTTTATGGTAACATGTTGCTATATAAAACACAAATCTAAAAAAAAATGATTTTTAGTTTCACCAGAATTAATTAATCGATTTTTACAATTATAATCAAATTGTATAATACGCTCAATTAAGTANTATAATCAAATTGTATAATACGCTCAATTGAGTAAATCTTTTTAACAACTTTGTTTTGATTGGTTCATTTAGTTAAAGTAAATGATTAAAATTAATTAAGTTCTGAATATTTCAATTGCAGAATCTTTTTAAACAACAAAAATTATAAAGGAATGATTACTATTATTTCTATTTCAATTATCTATTACGATAAAAATGCAAAAAAATCGAATTTTTCTGATAAATGTACTGTAAATAGTAATTATAAAATTTCCTGATTGCATATTAATCTTAACAATTTCATTTTTTTCTATTTAATAATTTCAATTTCAAACTTGCAAGTTGAACTATAAGTTATGGTAACAAATTCATTTTTTTTTTATTAAAACTTTCACTTTAAAGTTCAAAAAAATGTAGATTCAAAATGATTACTTTAAACATATTAAAAATCAAAATCAATAATAATTTTAAAACAATTAATTTTAAAAATTATATAATAAATAATTAAAAGAATTACTAATTTTGGTATAATTAAGGAAATAGAAGTTGATGTTGCTTTTGTAATNATGGGTTTTGTATTTTATTTTAATAGAAGTTGATGTTGCTTTTGCAATTATCCATCAATTTTTTAAAATTAAACACTATCTACAGATTTGCATCGAAGCGTTTCTTATGATAGTGATTTTAATCACTGTCAGATTAAATCTATACTGGACTCAACTATGCAACGTCTCCACTATGCTGTGCTACACTGTGCTGGGTTTTTTTTTATAATATACTTATATATTATGCATAAACGTATAATAAATAAAAATTTTTATGAACTTAATTTAAGTATAAAAATAGTATGATTTTATATTTAACTGAATTATATTTTAACAAAGTTCATTAAAATAAATTTTATATTTTTTAGTTTATTCTAAATTTTTAGGATTTTGTAATCAACAATTTAATAATTAAATTGTTGATTATAAAAGTATAATTATTATACTTTATAAGTTTTAAGATTGAAAGTGTTGGGGTTCAAAACAAAAAGGTATGGCTTTAACCTCACTTAACACATTTGATTCTTATATGATTGTCATAAATAACATATAATTCAAAATTTTTAGCAAATGCAATAATAGACCTAAAAAATAAAATAAATAGATTTTAATAGGTTTATAATTGTATTTATTATTTATATTAGCTATAAGACATGTGGTTAAGTCTATAAAATTGGCGTGCCTAATACTTTCTAACATGAGTTTCGTCACTATTTACGTTCCATTCTTTAATATGGGGAACAACTACCAAGAAAAAATGTTAGATTCGATCAGTCTTGTGATATTTTGAGTTTATCCTAAAATTAACTCTAAGGAAAATGTGTATAAAAATTTATTTTTTCTTTAGCTGTGTAACCTCAGTGTCAAAATTTATTACGTCAATTTTTAACGGTTAATTAGTAGGTAGAATTGTTTGATTTCATATTCTACCAATTTGATAAATTATTAAAAAATGTATTCATTTTTAATTATTAGACAGAAAAAGATATGTATTTGGGAGAGTTATAATGTTAATGCAGATTATTTGTGTAATTTACGTAATTTGATTATAAATGTATGTAAATTTATAAGGGTAGGAGACGATTTCATACAAGAAGTGAGGTGCTACCCCTCCCATTTTTCGTTAAAGTCATTAATGGTCAGTATTTTTATAATATATTGTGAACTTTTTTACTCATTAAGGTACACATTTGGCTTATTTATCACCAAAGCTCGGGACTTATAGCATTTGCTTTTTTTTATTGTTTGAAATTTAATGTAACACAATGCTATGTTTATGTCATGTTATGATGATTTCAAATATAAAATTTGAAAGTGTTTTTTTTTCGGCGATTTAAAAAAAACGCGTTTTTTCTATGGCTTATAACAAATTTTTATTTTCCGTCTTGAAAACTTCAGTAAACATTTGGATTAAAACCTAAATGGACGGTACCTTGATATGGGCTCCTTATGGAAAATATCGCTACCATAACTAAGCTGTCACTAATCATGACTAGGCTAGTAAATAAGCCTCAGGGCGTTCGTTCCCTTTAATCCGGACCTGGACATTGATTATTCAATACAATAATAGCGGTATATTTTGTTTAGATATAAATTTAGTTTTTTTATTAAATTAATTAATTATTCTTCGACTATAAGTAATATATTGTTTAAACTCACAGAAGTTCTTACACAAAAGATTTATTAAATTCATAATAAAAAAAAACATTTTATGATTTTAAATATTTATTTAAGGCTTATTCTACGCATGTTTTAATGATTTGAAGTCATTTTAGTTCCAAGTCTCGTGTTTACCAACATAAGGCAAAATTTACCATACTTCTAAGTACAGTATTTTTAATAAGCAAGGGAAATATTTTTCATTGTTTCCATTTTCCGTACTAATTTGCCTGTTTCCTTACTTTTTGAACACTCTATATAGTGTATATTAAATTGTTACTATGAATGGAGTAAATGTAATCATAACTAATAATTCTTTACGTGTATTTTATGTGTAAAAGTTAACAACAGTGATATTTTTAATATTATAATGATTTTAAAATACATAATATTTATAATACAATTTTCTTACAGAAAAAGCTGATTTTGGAGCTTGTGGCCGTGTTCTTGTTTTTATTATGGATGGTAAAAAACTTCAAGTTCCGAAAAGAGGTTAAATTTAAAAATTAATAATAATATTTTGTATATTATAAATTTTTTGTAAATGGATTATTTTGTTTTATTGTTTGAATAGGAAAGCGATCAATATTTTGTGAAGTCAGCATGGGATCTCGAAAGCAATGTACTCCTATTTGTGAATCTGTTGATCCTAAGTGGGATACTTCTATGCAATTCCTAGTTAAAAATATTCAAGATGATATTTTATGTTTAACTGTATTTAATAAAGGCTATTATTCGCCAAATGGTAAGTATTTTCTATTAGTATATTTTTGGTTCATACCAAACAGCAACACAAATTTTGATATATCAAGTATTTTTAAGTTAATATTACATAAAAACAATTTATTTTATTAAAGATCCCTAATTCATAATACAAATTTAATAGTCATTATTCATAAAATTTTTTAAAACTATACATTGTCAATGAGTGATGTTTTCTTTTAGATTAAAAATATAAAAAAAAGAGTTTATGATAATACACTGTTACGTCAATATAAGTGAATTAATTTAGAGTGACGTCTTCTAAATTAATATAAATTTTATTTTCTGTCATTTTTCTAGTCTTTGTTGACAGTATATGAGATCTAAAATTATAAGAGTTAAATTAAAAATTTATTTTGACTTTCAAAATTTTAATTTTATTTTAATTTTTAGAATTTTTAGGACGATCTGAAATCCGTATTATGGATATAATACAATCCACACAATGTAATAAAGGGCCTCTTACAAAACTTTTACAATTAAGAGAAGTTCTGACTGGTTTTATAACTCTTAAGTTAGATTTATGTTTATTTGATAAAACTAGTTAATAATTTACATTTATATTTATTCAAGTAGATTTTCGTAAATTCATAGTTACTAACAATTTAACATTAATTATTATATATTTATTTTATATGCTCTTATTTATATGTTAGTGTCATATGCGCTTACCTAAGATAAATTATATTTATAAAAACTTGTATTAAATGAATAGTTAATAATGTTTAAATTGTTTATCGTAAATCATATTTATTTATTATTATTTATCTAATTATTAGTTATATATGTTTGATTTACAAATTAAAAATTACAATTAAATTGTTTTCAAACATTTTCAAGTAAAAAGTATTATTTTATCAATAGTATTAATTTTGTTCATAGCAATTATTTAAAAAAATATTTAGTTTTTTCAGTGCAAAGTATAATTGACTTTGTAATAATAACACGATCGTTAAATAGATTAATAAAAGTTATATTTTATTGAAAAAAAAACATTTTCTACTAATGTCTAATTCATACATATTTCATAAGTTTATGAACTGTTAATTATCAAAATAAAAAAAAAACTGTAGCACAGTGTGGACATGGTATAGTTGGGACAAGTATAGATGATATCTGTCAGTAATTAAAATCACTATCATAAGAAACGCTTCGATGCAAATCTGTAGATAGTGTTTAATTTTAAGAAATTAGTAGATTATTTCAAAAGCAACAATATTTCTTATTCCCTTAATTTTATCCCGATTAGTTATTTGATTTATAATTATAACATATGAGTAAATATTAATTACAGTAATTAAATTTAGTATGAAATTGATATTCAATAATTTAATATTGTAATTTTTACGGAGATATAAAAATAATAAAGTAGTTGTATATTTCTTTGCTTTTAAGGCGTATAAAAATTTAAAGGACTTGATGAAATATTTTTGAATAAAAAATATTTGTTACTTATAACATAGTTATAAGTTTTATACACTAAACTATAAGGAACATTCATTGGAAACAATAATATACTTTTCTAAATCAACATTTCGCGATGTTTTCAAATGTATAATTAGATTTTTTCTATCACTTCTAAGTTTTAATATTATTACTTATTATTAAAAAATAAGTATTTGCATATAAATAACTATAATAGATAAACTGTAATAGATAATTGAAATAGAAATAATAGTAATCATTCCTTTATAATTTTTGTTGTTTAAAAAGATTCTGCAATTGAAATATTCAGAACTTAATTAATTTTAATCATTTACTTTAACTAAATGAACCAATCAAAACAAAGTTGTTAAAAAGATTTACTTAATTGAGCGTATTATACAATTTGATTATAATTGTAAAAATCGATTAATTAATTCTGGTGAAACTAAAAATCATTTTTTTTTAGATTTGTGTTTTATATAGCAACATGTTACCATAAAATTTGGAATATTACAGACTGTTAGTAACACACACGAATAGAGTTAAAAAATTAATAAATTACAAAGTAAAATTATTTACTTTTGTAGTTGGATACTTTTATCATATCATTTGTCTAATTCGACAATAAATACTTTGTAAACATTAGAAATGAATTATTTTAATTGTTTGTATGGAAAATCTGGTTAAGCTACTTATTATTTGAATAAGGAATATTTTTTCGATTTTTAAGAGTAATAACTTAAACAAAATACGAATTGTAATCATTTGACGTATCGTTGAAAAAAGTAGGTTTAGTGAGGGTTAGCAAAATAAATCGTAGCCACAAAAAAAACTACATAGTACAATAATATTAACATGAAAATAAATTTCTTCTCACGAGGGGAAACTATAGTGATAGGATCATTTATATTTATTGAAGTTATTGAATCTAAATGAGATAAATATCAAATGATTTGAAAATTTTTTCTAACTCAAAAAAAATGCAAAATATTAAATGCCACGGGCGGATTTGAACGTCGTATCTAAGCCTGAAAGACACAAGTCTTACCGATTCGGCAACTATTCGTTGCATGAAAAATTAGCAATTTAAGCTGATTCAAATTTAAAATTTGCTTTTTCTACTTTAAAAAAGTCAAAAAAATTTTAATAAGTTTAATTTCTTATGTCTTATGAACTTTATTCTATATCAATTAAATTATATAATAATCATGAAAGTCAATGTATTACCCTAATAAAATACAAAACCCAGAATTTTAATACAAAAATATGCTATTTTTGAATACGATAGCCATTTGCGCATAGAAGATAGGTCGTCGGGACAAATTTTTTTTAAATTTTATAGTACATAACATAAGCTTTAATTTGACATTTGTTGAAAGGACGCAGTATTTCCGGAACATTTTCAAAAATTAAGTTGAAAAAGTTAGTTTTTGTAAAAAAGTTACTATTTTAAATCCCCCCAATGAACAGGTTAAGTATTAGATTTTCAAAAAAATGATATCAAATGAAAGGGAAATATCTAAGGTTTTAGTATAAAAAAAAATTATGTCGATTTGATTATTTTTGAAAAAGTTATGGAAGTTTTAAGAAAAAAAATGACAAAATTTACCGATTTTTAAATTTGTAATTTTTTTGAATATTTCCTCCATTTGCGGGGAACGAGGGAAAATTTTTCAATTTTTAAGGGTAATGTCTTCAACTAGATACGATTTGTGATCTTTTGACGTATTGTTGAAAGAAATCGGTCCAGTGAGAGCTGAGAAAAAGTAGTGACAGACATAAAAAAAAACGCATCATGGTAAAATTTATACCTTCTCAGCTTCGTATTGAAGCTAATATGTGTATATATTATTTACAATGAACTTTAATATAAAACTTTAGCTATAGTAACATTTAGTTTAATAAATAGTTTATTTGTTATTTATGCTTGTAAGTTTATTTGATAATTAATCTTCAATATTCCAAAAGTAAGTTTATATGATAAACTATATCAAACATTTTTTCTATAAATTAGTAAAAATATCTTGTTATTATAAAAAGGAATTAGATTAAATATTTATTGTAAAAAAAATCAATTGGACTTAAAACTTTCCTTAAAAATATTTATAAATTATAAAAAGTAAATATATATATAAAAATAAAAATTTATTTTTTTAAATTAATTACCAAAAATTGTATAGAATACGATCATGAAAATATTTTTACAATACCTTAGCTTAAAAAGCTAAAAATATTTTATTATACATTATTTACAAAAATCAGGTTTTTAATAATGGGAAATTTTGTTAATTATTTATTTTTTAGCAATTTAAATTATTCTTTTGTTTTATCAGATTTTTCATATACTTCTTTTTCAATTGATTCTTCTTGATGTAATGATATTGGCATAAATCCACCTACTAATTGAGGTTTAAATTTATCTGGATCAAATTTCTCAGTCGGTGCAACAACGTCATCAAATTCATCTATTTTTTCTGAAGCATCTACTTGTGATTTTCGAATTACTGACCATCCGTTACTATTTTCTGGAATTTTTAGGCTAGGTTGAAAAGGAATTTGAAAATTTTGCAAGGGTGGTTGATTTCCTTCATTTATATTTTTATGGTTGTCTTCAGTAGTTTTCAAAGTTGCTGTTATGGGTTTTGGGGGCGTTACAAAAATAGAGCCTGAACTATGAGTTGACATAGGTACATAATCTTGTAGGTTTGGTAAAAGTCCTTGGTCATTGTTTGGTTTCGTTGTGTCTGGTTTTGTTGGACTAAATGCATTATAGTCAAGTGATGAAATATTTTGTGTTTCATCTGGTTTTATTATTTGATAAGGGAAATCAGTTTTTATTGGTTTATTAACATTTTTAGATTTTAAAATTGGTACATCCGATCTATCCTTAGAATCTATTATAATGGGATCATCTAGTAATTTGTCTATTAATGGTTTAGGCGAATTGTTTGTTGCGTATATAATATGTACTGGTTTCTCTTTGTTATCTTCTTGGATCTTTGGTGAAGATCCTTGTTGAATCATTTGTAATGTAGTAACTTTTGCCGGTGGTGGCCCGTTGGTATGTAAAATTCTTGTTTCTTTTTCTGGTACATCTAATTTTTCTTCACCCATATCTTCATCGTTTCTTTCTAATCTTAAAAATTGAGGCTTTGGTAAAGGAGGAGGACGTAAATGATCCATTGGAATCTGTACTCTTTCGATTGAGGCTGCATGTTGTGGAGGTAATGGTAAAGAATCTACTTTTGCATTAGGCCTAAATTGCGGTAAAATATTAGGTAAATTTGTTCTTTGGGGTGGAGTTGGTGGTGGACCTTCACGTTTTGGAGGTGGATAGTAAGGAGATGGTTTTTGAAGATTTCCCCATTGAGGTCGTGGAAACCCTCCATCTGGTTTTAATGTCAGTCTTGAAGGTGGTATCAATGGTACAGAGGTTGGGGTAGGTGATTTAAATTTCACTGGGACTGATTGATTAACTTTACTTTCTAGTGAAGAGTCTTCAACCATTAAAACCTGACCGATGCCTTGTCCTGGGCGGTTATCAGTTCTTTCTCCAGCCATACCAATAGAAAATGATGTTTGAAGAGCATAGCTCTTGTTATCTTCATTTGGCTGAGTTTTTATAAAATGATTGATTACATGTTTGGGTGGTTTAAACTTGGATGTATCTGGTTGACTTTGGGACACAATACTTTGAGGTTTTAGTTTATGATATCTTTCTGATTCTGCTACATTATATATGTAAGGATGGTTTTGATATATTTCCGTATTTGATGGTTTCTTTTTTAATTCTTCTGGAGTGGTTTTTACTAATGGTAGCTCTGGTTGATATGGATGACTTACTATTTGTGGCCCTTGAGGTCTATTTAGAACAAAACCTGCATTTGGAAAAGATGATGTATTGGGTTTAACCTTATAAAATAACATTTCTGGTTGATCTGAGCTGACAACTTTATGCTGTTGAACCTTTTGATAGTTAGAATCTAAGGATCCAGGAATGATATCGTGTTTGTTATTCGATATAAGTCTAGTTGGGTCAATTAGAATTTCTTTTGATGTATTGAAATTTTGATTTTTAATAGAATATGCTAATTCTTCTTTTACCTGTGGTGATTTTAAGTCAGATGGATGTATTATTTCATGTTCTTTATTATTTAAAGAAATGCCTGATGATACGTGAGCCGTAAATGTCATGGGATTTTTGTTATTGGTCATTAAAGGATACGTTTTTTCATTGAATTTGTTATTAACTGATATTGGTTTAAAGGTTTGTGAATGTACTTGATCATTTTTTTCTGTTGATTTTACACTGTCAAAGTCAGGAAAAGACGCACCATCATGTTTTGAATCTATTTCTGGTCGTAAGGTTGTAGTTGTTGTTGTTGCAGTTTTATTTGGAAAAAACGACATAGAATAAATACTTGCTTCTACTAGAGGTGTTGTAGTTGATGTATTAATTTTATACATAGTTGTTGATTCTGTCGCAATTATTGGAGTTTTATTTTGGACAGTTGTACTTGATGGATTACTTGTAGATGTAGAAGATGTAACAACATTACTTGTAGTTTCTGAAATAGATTCTTGAGGGTGATAATAATCATAATCATATGAAGACTCTTCTTCGTATTCTGAATAAGATTTTTGTGTTGTAGTAGTAATAGTTGAAGTTATTTTGGTTTGAGTTTCAGTTGTAGTTTTGGGTGTAGTTTTTAAAGTAGTATACCTTGTGGTTGATGCTAATGTAGAACTAGGAATTTGTAAAATTTTATGATTACTTAAGGAAGATCCAGCTCCTTGAACTTTTGTATTTGCATACGAGCTAGACATCAAAGGAAATTTGTCACTAGAACTGTACTTTACAGGTAAATTTAAAAACTGGTAGATATCAGTTTGTTTGTTTTTATTATTGGCTAGTGTTATTTCATTAGGTCTAGGTAAATTGATATCGCCTACATCTTTTCTATCTATTGGGTCACCTTTATAGTCATAAGGTACTTCTTCTAGTTTAGTGTCATAATCGTAGTATTCTTCAGATTTTTGATTAGGTGATTTTGTATTAAAGTCAATAGAACCAACATTAGGGTCTATGATAAATGGTTCTCCTTTATTAAATGGATATAATCCTGGGTGGTAACCATTTTTCAAAGTCATTGATTTTTGTGGTTCTTCTTTAACAATAGCTGATACGGCAGATTCATGATCAGCGAATGAAGTTGTACAAAGTGTTAATAAAAATGTATAAATTTGAAATTTCATTTTGTCTGTAATAAAAAAATTAATTAAATTATTTAAAAATATATTAAAAATTATGCCATAATCTCAAAAAAATTTAAAAAAAAACATAAGTATTTCGTTAAATATATTATTTTATCCAAATATGATATTCAAGTAAAATTATATTTTTGGTAAATTCACAAGATAAATATTTCACAAGATAATAATATCAATATATTTTTTGTTCATACTAGAGAATTAAACACGGAAATCATGAATTTTTTTTTAGTATAATAGAAAAATACCGTTAAATGACCTGAAATTATTTTACACTCCTTCTCATGTTACCAACTATTAGCAAGTCATCTTAAAACTTTTTTATTTACAAAGTCAAAAAATATTATTGTTTTTGATACCAAATGTGTATTATGTTTGATTATTATCAAATACATTGATTGTATTTTCATTTGTAGAAGTGTAATGTGTAATTAAAAATTTATCACAAGTGATTTTAAAACAAAGCACCAAGTTTATTTTCCTTTTTATTTATTTTGTAAAAATATAAATTCTTTTTTATTACAAAAGTAACTTGTGTATTAATGTTGAGCTTAAAGTTTCCGGCGAATTATAGAATACTTTTTTGTTCGCATTGTGTTAGGACCCAAACATCCGTTAAAAGCGCCAGCAATCGAGTGTGCTACAAAACCAGTTACACGGAAATATTATGAGTAAACATTCATATTTCATTCGTTCTTGTTGTTTTAATCAGGCCATACATCGTATAGGTAGGCTACGAATAAGTGCTTTAATAACTTAGGTACCTAATGGTATTGTTATTTTTTTATGTAAATTGTATTTATCTTGATTATTCTATGTATAAACCACGAATTTATAACATGTTAGTAATTCTACTCTGTTCCAATTAATAAAATATGATATTTGAAAACTATTTTAAATATACTTATCAATAAATTATTAGTTATAATTTTTTTTTTCGTTATTTTTTAAATTTAACCAACCTCTAAAATAATTAAGGGATTGATCAAATTTCCAATATTTGAGTACCTATAAATATCTTTCATATTGACCTTTAAGTTCAGTTTCGTGTTAATAACACAACGAAATAAATAAAAACACATTATTTCAATTATTAAATAATCTATATTATATTATATTCTGATATATACAAAACTGTAAAATTTATTGTTTAGGGTATCATTTCCACATTAATCGACAATAGACACGATATACATGTAAAGATTTTTTTAGTATTCTAACGGGTTAAAGAATTCGTGTCAATAAGTTTCTGTTATATTTTCAAATCATACACATAAAAATTTATTACTTTAAAATACAATAATAATGTATTATTATTAACATTGAAAAAATACTCTATTATTCTCATCAGAAAATTATATTTTGAATCTTATTAGTTTATAGTAGTTTAATTTAATGAACTACAAATTATAACTTACATTTTTTTTTTATGGTTAGTTTTCGTCAATTATTGTGTACATGTTATAAGTCGAAGATCCGAAAGCTTTATGTTGACTTATAAAACGTTTTTTATTTGTAATATTGTAACATGTATTAATGAAAGAATTATTGAACATGTGTTCTATATGATAGCCTCAAAAATAAATGTTTAGTATTTAAAATAATATAAATAACAAATGTAAGCTTTTGAGAACTCACTCATTGAAAAAATAGCTATAATATATTTGGATAAGACCGTTATAAATAATTCATTTTAAATTGCATGATTTAAAATGCATTTTTAAGCTTGATATAATAACATATAAAAGTTACTAAGAAATAAAATTCAATTCGAAAAAGATAAATGTCTCATAGGTGAAAGTATTTTGTTAGCAAATAAATTTTAAGAAAAAAAAAAGTTTGATTAACAAACCAGAACTTTTGAAGAATTCTTACTTAAATTTATATTATTTACCATGTGCCTTGTGTATAACTATCAGTATCTTATTATTTTATTGATAACGTATTATAAATTTGTAATTTGTATATACACGCCATATAATTAATTATAGGATTTTGTGTGTAAAATAATAATTATAAATCCTCATAGCCTATTTTCGTTTAATAATAAACGGAGTACTAGGAACCATTTAAAAATACTAAAAATAGACAAATAGAAAAAGTTATTTTAAAATAGGTAAACAATTTTACTTAAAAAAAATATTTTTTGATTTATTTGAATCAAAGTCATTTGTTATTTTATTTGTTTATTTTTTAAACATAGAACTTTAAAAACAAATATTGCATTTAGATATAAATAAAATCAATTTTTAGTAAAATTGCTTTTTGAATTCCCTGAATAAAATAACTATACATTATTGCTTTTAATATAATTTACCCCACATATTCATTTATCAAGTAACTTTTTTAAATCCAATTTAATAGTCATTTAATGAATAAATTACTGATATGTGAGGTATAATTTAAATTATCTAAACTTAGATAAAATTATGTGTATTTAATACGATACAAAAAATAGTTTCAATATTGTATTTATTTTTAAGTTAATTTATTTATGCCGGTAATAGCTAATACGCCAAATCCTGTATTTTAAATAACGGGAATATTTCAAGTCGTACCTACTTAAATAAAGAAAGTAGTGAATTAATTTACTTACAATATTATTTAGTTAGTTCTACAAAGGTGTTGTTTTTTATAATATCCAAAGGGCCGTCGAGAACGTTTTGTCGGATGTCCGGTGTTTTGGCGTAACAATTACAGCAGCAAAATCAACCGGAGCACATGATGCAAATGAACCCGGATGAATAGTACGGTGTGTCAACCAGGTCGTCCTCAACCGCGTCCTCGACCGACCAAAACACTGACGCGGGGAGCAGCTGTAGTATAGTAGACGGATATCGCTGTAAAAGATATACTAGTATCAAGTACCTTAGACAAGATGATGGCGGGAGGGCATGCCACCTAACTAAAGAATGCGATCGCCCGCCGCCACCAACCGGACCGCGGTGTACAGTTATTTGGCTGCCAAGCGAAACCATTTTTTTTTGTAGGTACCTATAATAGTCAGGCTGAACAAGTGCACGTTTAATATTGATACTCATTTATGACATCTGCAGAGAGTGGTTCTCAGAGCACATGATTCAAAAAACCCGGATTTCACCCTAATGGAGACGATTTTTATATACTTTAAATGGATAAGATATTTTATGTTTGTTTCTTGTTTTATACGCTTATTTAGTCTACGTTTGTTTATGATTCATGACTGAAGGGTAAGCGAGAATAATGTGCTGTGTAAATTACCTACTTTTAAAACTTAGATCGGTTGGGTTTAATATCAACGTTTCGTATTACAAAACTGCATTTAAGCAAAAGATCTTACACTAGAGACGTGAATTTACTTGTTATTTTACTATGTCACCTAAGTTACTTAACCTTAAAATTAAAAATCTAGTCGTAACATAACACAGTTTTAATAAAATAATGAACATTTTATTGGCTGTACCGAAATATAATCAACTTTTCCATTAGCTTGTTACATTACCATTAATATTTTTTACCCATTATCCAATTAGTTAAATTATACAATTTATCTTAAAAATCCAAATATATATCCACTTTTAATTAATTTATAAATAATAATCTAAGTATGACTTAATCTTCCTCCTTATACTCGATGCACACTGATTTGAAATCAAAATTTGGAATGATACAAAAGAGCAAATTGAAGTTTAATATTTTCAATAATAAAATAGAATTATCGAAAATAATGGTGTGATACTGGTTTTGCATCGGGCAGAACATGATATATTCTGCATTGTAATCTCGGATAATTAAAAAATATATAATGTCCTTACAATATTAGTAAAAATCATGCCATCAAACGTGCAAGTCTATAAGAAAAGTAAATCTTCATTAACCTGTAGATTGAAATTTTAAATTTTTTATTGATAGCTTACCGCAATGCATAAAGGACATGCAAGCTTTATGCTATTTTAAAAAACTTAGTACAAAAAATAATAGTTCTATTTTTTATTAGTTAAGAAAAAGTCGTACTTTAAAGTGTGTTAATTTTATAAAATCGTCTACTTTTAAATTTAAGAAAATCATATAGATGATAGTTTACAGTAGTTCAATTTTTTTGAATTCGCTAAAAAATAATTTCTGAATACAAGTAATTAAGGTGGTATAAAAAAAATGCATATGAAATTCTAGCAAAATGTATTTAAATAAATCAATTTATAAACAAATACTTCCTTAAAACATAAAAATTTCGACATGCTATAATGAAATTATTAACTTTAAAATATAAAATGAAAAACAAATTTTTAATTATAGAATAGTAGTGTAATGTTCAAATTTATTTTAAGTGAAGACCACCTCCGTTTATTCCATTGTCTTTCCAGCCATCAAAATATTGTTTAAATGCAGTTGGTTCACTCCCTTCGACAATTCTTACAACCTAATGTATAAAAAAACATAATTAAGCATATAAATTACAATGCAAAAATAAAAGCAGCAATCATACTCTAGTCCAAGCTGGATAATTATTCTCTTTTATAAAAGCTTGAGCTCGCTTTAAAGATTCAACTTTTTCTTGTGTTGTTCCTTTTTTACCAATCCACACATATATGCCAGAAGATACCGTATCCAGAATAAAACAGTCCTTAAAGTAACAAAATTATTAATTGGCAACTCAATATTTTTTTTTTTTAATTTATTACTTACATCAGTTTTTAAAAGTGATTGTACCAATGGTTTTTGGTTGATTATTTCTGATGAAATTTTTCCTCCGTTAGAATCTGTTATTTTGTATAAAACTGGTGTTGCCTATATGAGTTATAAAATATTCTTAATAAAATATGTATAAAAAAGACAAAATTATTCCTATTATAATATTATACATAAATATTACAGTTATTATCAATTTTATAGTAAAAACTTACAATTTCTTTTTTTTCAAATTCTGTATCGTCGTCAACTGCTGGAGCCACTTCTTTAGAAGAACCAGATCCTAATTCTTTAAAGAATTTTTCAATTTCTTCAGGATTACTTGACCCATCTTAGAAAAAATAGGTTTTTAGTATCATAAGTAAAAGTAACAAATGTTTGAATTGACATTATTTTTATTCATCAATTTTTATAATAGAAAATCTCTTGCATGTAATACAGAATCATTTTTTTTATATTGACTTACCAACAATGTTTACTTTAGCTCTTCCAGAATGATCTTGATCTCTTACTTGATTGGCTACACTGATAGCTTTAAGACGCTCTGTACCTTTAGCTTGGGGTCCAACATAGACATAAATTTCTTTTCCAGTATCTAAAATAAAGCAATCGCCTTGATTCATAGATGATACATTAGGAGCTACTTGTCTAACACGTATATTTTTTTTGCCCTTTATTTGATACAGTTTTTTCTCTCCACCAGCATTAATTTCCGTGTGTTGGAATCCTGATGCAACACCACCAGGTAAGTAACGAATAGCTAAAATTAGAATTAATCATGATTAATAAAAGTTAAATTAGAAAATTATGTACATTTTTTTTTTACATGGTGAAAATAGAGATAAAAATGCTTGGCTTTCATGATCCTGAGTTTCTTTATGTTGAACTGGGTCACCTCCAAGAGCATCATCTAACTGAACAGATAAAATTGCAGCAGCTCCGACTTCATCCTATTTTGTCATAAAAAGATTAAGTAGAATACTTCTAAAATAATCATTAAAAAATAACTAACTTGAGAAGATGAACTTCCGGACCAATAATAGATATCTGAAGCAAATTTGCCTTTTTTGCTTTTATCTTCTTTTGACTAAAAAATCGTAAAAAAAAATTAACTCATTTAATAAAATAAGTGTAGTCTAATGAATAAATGTTTTTTTGTCTTAAAAGTGATAATATTTCAAGTCCCAAAACTCATTTTAGCTTCGATGCGTAGCGGAGAAGGTATTAATTTTACTATGATGTGTTTTTTTTTTTTTTTATGTCTGTTGCCACTTTTTCTCAGCTCTCACTGGACCGATTTCTTTGAAAAATACGTCAAAAGATCACAAATCGTATCTAGTTGAAGACATTACCCTTAAAAATTGAAAAAAATTCCCTCGTTCCCCGCAAATGGGGGAAATATCCAAAAAAATTACAAATTTAAAAATCGCTAATTTTCGAAATTTTTTCACTTTTTTTTCTTAAAACTTCCATAACTTTTTGAAAAATCAACAAATCAACATAATTTTTTTTTATACTAAAACCTTAGATATTTACCTTTCATTTGATATCATTTTTTTGAAAATCTATCACTTAACCTACTCATTAGGGGGGATTTAAAATAGCAACTTTTTTACAAAAATTAACTTTTTCAACTTAATTTTTGAAAATGTTCCGGAAATACTGCGTCCTTTAAACATATATCAAATTAAAGCTTATTTTATGTACTATAAAATGAAAAAAAAAAATTTGTCCCGACACTTTTTTTTCTACATTTAAACGGCTGCCGTAGTTAAAAAAACACTATTTTTGTGTTAAAATTTTCGATTTTCGATTTTTAATTTTCAACTTAAAAATGCTATAACTTTTTGAAAAATGTATATATCAGCACAATTTTTGTTTTCTAAATACATTATAAGTACATCTTTCATTTGACATACTTTTTATTAAAATTGGACAATTTCCCCTTATATAGGACGCGTTCAAATGTTGAAATATTGTAAAAAATATAGAACTTTTTCAACTTAACTTTTGAAAGTGTTCCGGAAATACTGCGTCCTTTAAACATATATAAAATTAAAGCTTATTATATGTACTATAAAATAAAAAAAAAAAATTTGTCCCGACGATCTATCTTCTATGTGCAAATGGCTGTCGAAAATTAAAAAAAAATGTAATGTTTGCGATAAATATTACCTTTTATCGGAATGTTTTTTGTGCTTAAAACTGTCATAACTTTTTCAAAAATTAACAAATAAAAATAATATTTTCTTGTATTGAAACCTTAGATATTTCCCTTTCATTTGATATAATTTTTTTTGAAAATCTAACACTTATTCTGTTCACTGGGGGGATTTAAAATAGTAACTTTTTTACAAAAATGAACTTTTTCAACTTAATTTTTGAAAATGTTCCGGAAATACTGCGTCCTTCAAACATATATAAAATTAAAGCTTATTTTATGTACTACAAAATGAAAAAAAAAAATTTGTCCCGACGACCTATCTTTTATACGCAAATGGCTGCCGTATTCAAAAATATGCTATTTTTGTATTCAAATTATGGGTTTTGTATTTTATTTTAATAGAAGTTGATGTTAATTTTGCAATTATCCATCAATTTTTTAAAATTAAACACTATCTACAGATTTGCATCGAAGCGTTTCTTATGATAGTGATTTTAATCACTGTCAGATTAAATCTATCTGGACCCAACTGTGCAATGTCTCCACTATGCCGCGACCCCACTGTGCTACCGTTTTTTTATTATTATTATCCGTATATACGATTTTTTTTTTTTTTTTTTATTATTTAATCAATTATAAAAAATGATTTTTATTAATAAATGAGGAAATATAGTTTCACATATGAAATACTGTGTTCTCAAAACCATATTGGTTTTATTGAGACGGATGAAATTTTTAGCAAAATTTTAGAATTAATTGAAAAAATTAGTCAATATTAAATTAATCACATAAACAAGAAATTATCGAAAAAATTTTAACAAAGAAACAATTTTATACTTTTTTTCCTAGGGATACCTAAACTCCCATTCTATCTTATAATAAGAATAAATCACTTAAGGCTAACATTATTTAAAATATATTTTTAATTTTCTATTATATAATATGGCAATAAAAATAGTAATTTAATAATGAGGGGTATAAACCTTTCCATAACATATTGTTATTAGTAAAGCAAAGAAACCTAAAAATGTAATAAAATACTGATTGATATAAGTTTAATTAAAATTTAATTTCGAGTTTATAACATTAATGAAGCAGTTAAGATTAAGTAGACTATCTGTTTAAACAATATAAAAACACATCGCAGCAATTTAGACCCCTATTTGAATGTCCTCGTTATAATTTATTATAAATAGCATGAAAAATAATATTCTCGTAATCATTTTTCTCGAATATTCTTAACTTCATCTTATATTTATGATGATCTATTAAAATAAAATTAATTGAATTTACCAATATCATAGTTTTAAATACTTAAAAATAATCAAATCTTACATTTAAAATAATGTATGAGTCACCAGTATAAAATTTTCCATAGTCTTTGAGTGGATATGGAACTGGTTCAAAATCCTGAAATAAAAAATATTTTTATTTATTGAAAAAAAAATACATATCAAATAACAAACTATTATAATTAGACTTTAAAATTTAAATGATATTCATTATTCAATGTGTGACAATTAAATAAAAATACCAGCTGCCAAAATGTTGTCTTAGTTTTTTTTTGTGTAGTGCTAAATATACACTTATTATTCAAATTTCTTTTTTTTGACATTGCGGAGAAATAAAACATAGATATGATAAAATATAATTATAACACATTTAAATAAATGAAACAAATTCAATAAAAAAAAATGTAACAATACTTTTCAATTGTAATATTTGATCATAATAACGTCGACAATTTTATATGTGTAATTACTCAAATCAAATATTGTATAATTGTTAAACTCAAATTACAATAATTTCAATAGTAGTTTAATTTTTTAAAGTTATATACATGAGTTTTCATTTATCATCAAGAAAAAATATAAAAGACACAAATACTAACAATACTCGAAAAGGTAATTTTATATTCTATATGAAATTAGTATTTAGTATTTTTTCATAGAAAAAAAAAATTACTTTTCTCAAATTGTATTACTACTTTAAATGATTAATTTGTTATTCCTTTTCGTGATATTTTCAGTATCAGTCTGGAATAAGTCTAGGGTGCAATTGAGCCCGGGGTCCCCACTCATTTTGGGGACTGCATTAAGTTGATGACCTTTAATTTTGTTGGTGTTATCCCTAAGTTTAATAAAATACTAGTTATCTTATTAAATACTAGTTATTTTATTTCATGATATCTATTCTTTCGTATATTTATAGACCTTAAAAAATATAATAATAAAAATTTAATTAGAAGTGTTTTTTATATAATTAATTACTATGTTTAAAAGATATGTATTTTATATACTTATTTACAAGGATAACGAATTTTTAGGTGAGGGTAGGTGTAGAAATTAGAGTAACAAAAATGATCTAATGAAGAGTGTATATTAATTAAATTATCAAGCCAATACATCATATAAATATATATTTACATTTTAAAATTAAAAAGTTATTGCCCAACGAAATCATTCTACATTGATAAAAATAATCAAATTATATCATACGTCTATCGACTGAATTTTTAATAAATAACTCATAAAATTAAATCATTTTTGTTATTTATTAAATACGCATTCATATTGAGTTCAATAACGTCAGCAATCACAATTGAAAATTAACCTTAAAAATTAACTTAAGTTTTAATTTATTTGTTGTACGTATTGTCTTTTTTTTTTATTATTAAATTAGCTTTAAGAAAAATAAAACATAATTGTACTAAGAAATTTACAAAAATAAAATATTACTTTCCGTTCTTCAAATCTTTAAGAATTAATCTGAGCTACATTATATGTATATAATACAAGGATCATAAAGTAAGAAAAAGGTCATCTGTTTCAAACAATAAGAACAATAAAAACCTGTTTCCTTACTTAACACCATACATGTTGGTATATATTTAAAATTTGGTCATATACATGACCAAATTTTAAATAATTTACAACTTGCTTGTTTGAATAGTAATAAAAGTAACGTAAGTTATAAAACAACGTATGTAACATACATGCTCAATATATTTATAGAATATCGGCGCCACAAAGCCTATCAAGATTTATTGATTTTAAGACTATTTCAAATGTTCTACGACAGCGAGGGTCGAGGTTCCATTAAGGGCTCATAAAAACGTATTCAACTTGCGAAAATACCGTGATATTTAAATGTCAACTAAGCGAGTAAGGTGTTAAAGTTTGTTTTGTCATATATATACATATTGATATAAATAATTTTTCTGTTACAATAACAAAATTATTTTTAAGAAAATTTATTCATTACATGTGTTGCTAAAAATTATACACTGATCTAATGCATCTATATTACTAAAGTTAATCACTAATCATTATATATATATATATATATGTTTGGTATGATTACAATAATCAATATTATTTATTTTTATTGATAAATTATCATGAGATCAATTTTTCTAATGATTGCTAATTACTTTAAAAATTTTGGGAAATTTGGATTTAATATCCAAATATTTTGGACATTTTAACTATTTTGATTGTAATGTTAATCATATCTATAGATTCTCTTTTTTGGTTTAAATAGTAATTATTTGATTTAAGTAATATTTTGATAAAAATACAGTTTTCTATTAATCTAAAAACATGTAATATCAAGTAGAACTTCACAAACTCGCTACATACCATTTATTATATTTAATGATATAACGAGAATAAAACCATAAATTTGTAACTACTAAGACAACAACAAAATATTAACCTTGTAAAAAATAGGGTTTCATAAATTGTTCTCCAGTTAAAAATTGTGAATACATTTGGTTAAGTTGAAAAAGTAAATTTTAAATAAAGTAAATAGAGTTTTTGTATTGAGGCATCATTATCAAGGTCACTCCAGTAATGTTTTAATAAATAAATATAATTTTATAGTGAACATTATTTCAAATGTAATTAATTATACGTTTATTATTATATGTGTACATATATTATACGTGACTTCTTGAATTTCAGTTATATAATTTTAGTAAAAAAATTAAGTCCATAATTCGTTCAACACTTAATTGTTTTAATCAGTGAAAGTTAAATAATCAACAAGTAGTATTAACAAATTATTGGTAATTGAAACTCATTTTACTAAGATAATAATTATCTATTACCCGGGTTTACAATTAATATGATTTGATTAAAATATTACTTCAATTCTCCAAATTTTAAGCCCAGCTGATTTACCGGCAGATTCAAACGCTGGATGCATGACTGAAGGACGGAGAACGACGGCGGAACTTTTCGGCTGTGTTGAACCCGTTAATGTAACTGCTAATAATGTGAGAGCAACACAAAGCAACAGGCGTGGTGCCGCCGGAATAGCAAACAACTGACTGCTATACACCATTGTACTGTCTGCCTGTAAACGACAAACCAGCATTATTTTTGTGACTAATGGGGTTATTAACGATTCATTCATTTTACATCACAAATAAGGTTTTCCACAAAATAAACTAACTCACTACTCATTATGTTTATCATAATTAACTATTTTTATTGAAAAGTGATACGCTCTAACTGGTTATCAATGAAATAATTCATGATAAAAATATACATGTAATTTATGCAATAGTATAACATTTTAAAATTATAATTTTTAGGAAAATTTTCAATTATAATAAGAGCAAATATTTATGAGAACGATACATGGCTAGGTAAAACGACACAAGTAGAGATTGTTAACTTATCAGGAAAGCAAACATAATTTTTAAAGTTATTTTCCTTTTCCAAACAAGTATTTTAAAAATCAACATCTTCATTTTACTTCTGATACACCTTTTATGTCTGTAATAATATTAAATAAAATAATAATTGTTAGGAAAGTCCAGATATTTATACAAAAATTATTGGGAAATATGCACATAAAAAGAGGGATATTAAGGGGGAACGCATTGAGGTTAAGTGATCTAGGATACCCACATTTGAGAGGTGCCAAAATATATAAATTAATTTATTTTGCATAGAAATATTTTTTGTACCAGTCGACGTTTATGCTTTTGTATATATATATTATTATTTATAACACTTTGAATAGATCCCGAAGTCAATGTAATTATTATTTCTTTTATATAATAATCAATAATATATTACTTATTATTATTAATATAATTACTATTTTTTTGTAACATGTATTAATTAATATTACATACTTTTCTTAAGTAGGTAACCAAATTATTTAATTATCACTGTTAATATTATTTGTGTTGCATTATGTATAGAAATTACATTAGAAAATAATTTATAATAATAAATTATACATTAGTTTTTTGATAACACTATATGAAAAAAAAGATTTTTAGTTATGTATAACAAAAATGAACGATAAAGTTATTCAATATAATATATTGTTGAGATTAGAGTGTTATTACGAATGCAGTGAGCAGCACTAATGTATGTAAAATTTTTCATAGAAAGTTTATTAAATTTCTACTCACGTCAAATAATACAAAATATAATTTCCCTAGGGTGTCAGTTAGCACGACACTACACATAAATGTGCATGAAAATGTACATAAAATATTATTTTGCTCGAAAAATTAATTAAATATTTTAAAATAATTACGTAACGTAAAAAAAATTTTTTTTTTTAATTACATATTTGAGAAACGATTACCAATACTTTAATTATAATAATGTAAAAAAATAATAAAACCTAAATCCAACCATATTATTGTGCTCACAAAAAGTGATAAGAAAAATTCAATGAATGTAGGGCTTTTTATTATTTGGTTAAAACATGAACATAAAAAACGCTAGGAAAAAAAAAACTTAAACATTAATTTTTTAATTATAATTATAATTTTGCAATTTATTGTAGAGTTTAAAAAAAAAGAAATATTTAATATTAATCAATTTAAACTTTTATGCAAAAATATGACAATTCTAATAATATTTACTGAAGTATACAATAATATGTATTTGTAATAAACACTTTATGAAACGTTCACATTTTTAATTAAAATTTTAGCTAGCTCATTGAAAAATATTCATTTGCATAAAAATGTAGGATTTAATTATGATAATAATTATACTCTTTTAGCGGCATTTTGATTATCGAAAATGTATTTAGAAAGGGTGTGTGACCTCTTTATGTTTTAAAATTATATCATACTTAGGACACTTAATTTCATAGAATGGCATATGGAAAAAAAATTTTGTTTAGATTCTTTTCTCTTACAAATAAAATCCTGGCTGCGTGCCACTCTATCACCTATATGTATTAATATACAAGCAAATAATCCACCAATTTCTTAAAATTAAACATTATCTACAAATTTGTATCGAAGCGTATCTTATGATAGTGATTTTAATCATTGTCAGATATTATCTATACTTGTCTAAACTATGCTACGTCCATACTGTGCAATGATCCTACTGTGTTACTGTTTTTTTTCTGACTATGGAGCTCTACACCTGAGGGAGAGGGATCTAACCTGTCTGAGTCCTTTTATTGGCCTTAATCTGGTCCTGTTTAAATTGATTTCAATATTAACAGGACTGAATTAATATACGTTAGTATAAAGGCGTTTCAATTAACATCTTAATTTTTTTTATAATTATCTTGGCCAAAATAAGAAAACAATGAACAATAAAATTTACTTGCTTATTTTAAATTATTGTAAAATTTTAAATAAGCTTCCTATATCCTTGAATCCAGTGGCACATCCACCTTCTCTAACCTTTCATAATCCAGGATCGTGTATTAAGAAAATTAATCCAATATTTAAAGGGAATAAGTCTAAAGCCTCCCTTATTTACCTACGCTAAAATTTTTATATTTTTTATGTACAATTAATTATTTCTAATTTATTATAATAATTTTTATTTTTATTATACCAAATTTAAAAATATAGCAAACACTTTTGATTTCATAAAATAATTTGAATACCTTTTAGAATATTTGTTCTAGATATGTAAGCAATTATTAACACTGTTGCCATTTCTTTTTTAATGATGTTTTAATTATAATGATTTTTGTCTATAAGCAGTAAAATAGTTTAATCTACACCCGTATAATTATATAGCATTAAAAGAAAATATTTGCCTTCGTTCAATTTTATAAAATTTTGTAAGTATGTGAAGTAATTCTAAAATTGGTAATTATTTTAACCAAATATACTATAACAGAAGTTAATTAAGCCTACTTAATTTTTAACTATTTATTTTGAGTTAAATGTCAATCATTAAATACCATAAAATTTTTAAGATTAAAAATTTTGAAGAGAAATAATGAAATATAGTATACAAAATAATAAAAATATTAATTTAAATTTAGGTTTCATTAAACTTTAGTAAATGATATAACGGAGCAAAGTGATCTAAGTACCGAAAATAGTTTTTATTGTATAATTTAATCTTTATATCTACGCCAATACTATAAATAATTCTACTTCAATAACTATTTATAAATTGTAAAATCAAATTCTTATGGTAAATCGAAATGGTTTTTATTAATTTCCCCCCGAAAAAACTTTTTTTAAAATCACTTGATCTTGGCACGCCTCAAATGTGTATATAATTAAGGTCGAGCCAGACAGATTTGCAAGACGTTAATTTTAGGGCTACATACCAGATCTAGCTTTAGTTATGAAAGGGCCGTAGTAAAATCATTAAGTAGACATTGTTTTTTTATTTATAAAACACATATTTAGTACTTTTTAAAATAATAATTGCTGTTGGAACCTGATCGTCGAACTTGCCTTATCCTAACGCTAGCAATTAAACGTACGCTAACAATTAAAACAATATTTAGCCTACTACATTTTTCAAATAACTGTTTTATGTGTGAAATACAGTTTTTATAATTTTAGCTTTGATGCGAAGTTGAGAAGGTATTAATTTTACTATGATGTGTTTTTTTTTGTGTTTGTTACCACTTTTTCTCAGCTTTCACTGAACCGATTTCTTTCAACGATACGTCAAAAGATCACAAATCGTATTTAGTCGAAAACATTACTATTAAAAATTGAAAAAATTTCCCGTAAATGGGGGAAATATCCAAAAAAAATACAATTTTAAAAATTACTAAATTTCGAAATTTTTACTTAAAATTGCCATAACTTTTTTAAAAATGACAATATCGATATAAATTGTTTTTATTATTTTGTTAATTGATGGTTTTTAAAGCTATGAAATAGCCGAGAAGGATTTTTTTGTGACTATCATTTATTTTCTCAGCTCTAACTTGACCTACTTTTTTCAACGATACGTCAAATTATTATAATTCCTATCTAGTTGAAGATATTACCCTCAAAAATTGTTTAAGTCCAGTGTATAAAACATATAACTTTGTTAACTGCTATAACCTTATCAAAAATGACCAAATCAATATAATTTTAGCTTCGATGCGAAGCTGAGAAGGTATTGGTTTTACTATGATGTGTTTTTTTTTTTTTTTTTGTCTGTTACCACTTTTTCTCAGCTCTCACCGAACGGATTTCTTTCAACGATACGTCAAAAGATCACAAATCGTATCTAGTCGAAGACATTACCCTTCAAAATTGAAAAAATTTCCCTCGTTCCCCGTAAATGGGGGAAACCTCCAAAAAAATTACAAATTTAAAAATCGCTAATTTTTGAAATTTTTGAAATTTTTTTTACTAAAAACTGTCATAACTTTTTCAAAAATGAACATATGAATATAATTTTTTATAGATGCTTGATGTTTTTACCTATCATTTGGTATATTTTTTTTGTAAATTTGACCTTTTTTCTGCCCACAGGGGGGGATTTAAAATGACAACTTTTTCACAAAAAATTAACTTTTTCAACTTAACTTTTGAAAATGTTCCGGAAGGTCTGACACTTTTATATATATCTTAAATTAAAGCTAATGTAATGTAATTTAATTTGAAAAAAAAAAAATTGACCTCTGGACTTGTCTTCACGGCGAAAATGGCTACTGAATGCTATTTTCGTGTGAAAATTCTCGATTTAATTTTATACATTTTTAACATTATTATGATATAACATATTGAAAAGTTTATGGATCCACACAATTTTTTTATGAGAAATAATATTTTTTAATAAACCCTTTTTCATTCGACATACTTTATCTTAATCGAGATATTAATAAGGAACCAGCAGATCAAGTAGCTTTTGGAATAAAACACCAATTTTTTTAAAATTAAACACTATCTAAAGATTTGCATCGAAGCGTTTATTTTTGATAGTGATTTTAATCACTGTCAGATATCATTATACTTGATCCAACTATGCCACGTCACCACTGTGCCGGATTTTTTTTTTTTTATAAATACATGAGATATATTTACCAATCATTTTGTATATTTTTTTTTATAAATTTGACACTTTACCTGCCCACAAGGGGGTTTCAAAATGACAACTTTTACACAAAAAATTAACTTTTTCAACATAACTTTTGAAAGTGTTCGGGAGACTGACGCTTTTCTATATATCTTAAATTAAAGCTAATGTAATATATTTTATTATGGAAAAAAAAATTTCGTACTTTATTTTGTCTTCGCGGTAAAAATAGCTACAAAATGTTATTTTTGTTTGAAAATTGTCGATTTTATATTTTACATTTTTAATTTTATTATGCTATAACTTTTTGAAAAATGTATGGACCAACACAATTTTTTCATGAGAAGTAGTATTTATATACCTGTTTCAATTCGACATACTTTTTTTTTTAATCGAATCATTTCCTTTTATATATTTATATATTATAAGTATATATCCATATATTACATTTATAAATCATAAAACTTGTAATCAGAATATAAATAAGGAAATAGGAGATCATGTTGTTTTTGGAATAATCCACAAATTCTTTAAAATTAAACACTATCTACAGATTTGCATCGAATCGTTTTTTATAATAGTAATTTTAATCACTGCCAAATATCATCTATACTGGACCCAACTATGCCCCACGTTCCCCCTGTATCGCGACCCCACTATGCTGGGTTTTTTTATTATATGTAATTACAAAAAAGTAGGCAAAATAATTACTATTTTATATTCTCTATGTTTGAAAATTACTAAAATAAACATTTTTCAATCAATGTAGATGTGTCTATATTTTTTGGAAAAGTATACTATGAATTACATGAATTTGTATTATCAGAGTTGGTCAACTTAAGTTGGTAAACTAAATTATTGATTATAGTATTATTACTCTAACATATAATTTTGTTGTTATTTTTATGAGGGAAATAAATAAACTATCGATTGAAAATAATAGACAAATAAATGAAAAAAAAACAATATTTAGAGGAATTAAATCAGTGATTAAGAAAAATGTATGCTTCCTATAAAATAATCTATTTATAAGTGTATATATATAAAAACACATTGTTCAATGAGTTATTAGAAGTATTGAACTTGAATTTGGTTAAGTTAAGTAGGAACAATGTCGATAAATTAACATTTAAGATAACAAATTATAAATTTCACTAGCTAAACTGAAATTTTTTTTTAACTAACTCAGTTAAAAAAAAGTGCATTTAATTCTTTTGGTCCTTAAATATTTTTCTTGACCAAAAACGTTTAAAATCGATTTTTTATTCATAAGTGATGATAGGAAAGGATGAGAATCAATTTTCAACGATTGTCAATTTGGTTTTTCCTAAGTATTTTATAAAAAAATACATAGTCACACTACACACTTAATATTTACGGAGTAGTTAGAAGAGTAAAAAATTTTTGAAAAATGACATCTATTAAAAATAATGCAAAACCATTTAATTGAATGGTTAACATGTGTTTTTTAATTATTGCATATTATTCAATTTAGCAATAAAATGTTAAATAAAAATAAAAAGTTTCAATTAATTCTCCCATGTATGAAAGGTCATTTTCTGTCATAAGACATTAAGACATGGCTTCGGTCAACTATGATACAAGGAAGATTTAGTAGTTATGAACTACTAAATATATATACTCAATATTGAAAAAATATATAGAAATTGATGTAACGTCTGTTTTAAATACTTTTGCAATGTCTAATAGACGTTATGGGCTTAAACTACCCCAAATTTTGAATACTATTAGCTCCTATGGTTAGAGAATCGTATTATTAAATAATATATTTAATTTTTAACTATATTATTTAAGTCCACTTTATTCTAGAACCTTTGATAAGAAATTTGATTTATGTTGGATTTCTTTTATTTCAACCACGTACGTAGTATAAAGACAAAAAATGTTTGTAAAATTTTTAATTTAACTTTTTTTAACGGTAAATCAATTAGAAAAATAATTAAATAATAATGTCCACTTTTGTAAAAACATGAGATATTTACTATATATATATCTAAATAATTATTGAACGGGCGTAGTTTAAAATTATTTTTCTTATGGTATTAAATTATAGTATAAATATTAACCAATTAAAAAAAAATCGAAATATGATCATTTAAACTCACTCCTTACATACGCCTTTTTGTTATAGTATAAAATTTCCAATAAAAGTATTCCATTGTTAATTTAATTTAAAAATATCCTCTTTCATATTTTTCTATATCATTCCTTATCTATTTAAAATAATAATAATATTCCACTCAAAATTCTAATTTTTTGTGAATAATAATATGTATACACAATTTTTAATTGTTAATTAGCTCTAAATAATTAAATACTAATATTAACTATTAATACATTTGCAGTGCTAAGGATTTTTTTTTTTTAATTTTTTTTGAAGGAGTTAGGGTAGTATATATTTTTATCACATATATTTTTCCATGGGTTAGATCAATTATATCACCCAAAGGATTTATATCTTTTATCCGAATTAAAAATGTATTTAATTATTAAAACAAATTACAAAATTTGTGTAGGTTTTATTAAAAACTAATGATTTTTCTTTGTAATTCCTTTCCTAATTTAAAAAGTATGATTCAACTACATATTATTAGTGTAAATATTTTGATATTTTCCTCGTAAATTATTTAACAAATAAATAAAATTAAATAAACGCTCAAAGCATTTTGTTTGACCTCGCTTTTTGCTTAAATATATAAATGATCAAGTTGATTAAGCGTTGTAACAGTAATATACCATACTACCTGATTCACAGCAACTGCGTTGTACAAAATGAACTACCTTTTTAAAAATTATTTATCACGTTATTATTATTAAGAGCTATTGTTAATTCGAAACGTGCATAAAATTATTTCAGCAAAAATTATATTAATAGTAAAAGTCTAAGAAGAGATAATACGATTGTTTTAAGAAAAATTTAATTGAACATACAAAATATATGTTCAATTATTTAAAAATAAATAACAATATTTGTTTTTATAAAAACTATAAAATGATTCATTCAAAAATTTTCATAGAATTTTTAAAATTGTAATACCCTTACTTGTATAGTACTTTATAATATAATGCAAAATGCAAAATAAAAAATAAACACATACAGAGTTGCATTTATAATAGATTGATTTTGTAACAATTAATTTCTATACTCGTTTTTCTTTAAAAACGTATAATTATTATTTAAAAAAAATTATATTCAATACATAACAATTCATCTATTTTTTTTTTTTTTGCATAATTCACTTAACAATTCATTTATTACATTTTACACTATATAATTGATTAATTTAGAAATTTAATTACCTTCATATTGATAGTTTTGAAGTTTACTTAGAATTTCTGTTAGAGCAGTCAGTAAAACATCACATTAGCAACTGAAGTGTTAGAAAGCAGTTGCCTACAACAAGGAAATATTCTTATTATATTAAGATGTGTTTTGAACTATAGTTGTTTACCTCTGATATGTAATATGTAAAAAAATAAGTTTACCTTCCTACCTACGGTTTTCACAATCATCATGATAACCTTATCCAAATCCTATCGCTAAAATTTAACGAATAGCTCATTGATGTATCATTAGATATAAATGGTAATTTTATTTTTGTATTGTTGCTATTAGACTTATATAATTTTACATAAAAAAAATAAAAGAGATGCTGTGGTCTTAAGTAAAAACATGTCAAATTTACTTTAATTATTTTCCATATAGTTATATATACTTTAAAAACTCGAGTGCATAGATGCAATCTAGAGATTTTAGACTTCATAATTTTGTTTCAACTCCACAAAAATTATGAAAAAGACATATTAATTTTTATAGAAATATTTTTAAGGAGAAAAGAAATTATGTTACATTTCCCAAACATTTTCTGCAAAATGCATCAATGTCTAAATGATAAATTTTTGCACAAAAAATATTGTGTTCATTTAATTAAGTATAATATTATTCGAAATAAAATAATTAAAATAAGTATTGTATTAAAATTTTAGGTAATCAGATTTGATTTAAAATGATTTTTAACAAAAAAAATCACATAAAAAATTTCTTGTAATAACGACATTTTTTTGTATTGAAATTCAAGAAAATGCTAAGTATTTTTATATTTTGCGAAATCATAAATACCGCCTCTTAATTTTTGGGCAATCCTTTTATTTTTTGCTCATCATCTTATATTTTGAATGAAAACAAAAAAAAAAGTAACATTGCTATTCCTAAAAGTTTACCGCCCTGAGCCACGGGCACAATTTGTAGTGGAAGCTTAGCCTTTCCTAAATTTTATATTAGCATCCTAAAACATCATTCTCAAACGATTTTTATCGATACCACTATGAAAAAAGAACATAACTCAATTTGGTTTATTTATTGTTTAAAAAAATTTAAATCAATTATAAATTACAATTTTGGGGGGTTATATATATATATATAGGTTTATACAGGGCGTAATTTCATTTTTTTTTTTTTGGGTGTGCAAGATTTTATGTAGGCCATTCTTTGAAATTCCATCAGGCCATACAAAAATAAATATACTTACTTAAGTAAACAAAAAAATCCAACCCAGCACAGTGAGGTTGTGGGACAGTTGGGATGTGGTATAGTTGGGACAAGTATAGATGAATGTGTTAAAACTTTCCAGTATAGTTGCAGCCACCGACTAGCAACCATCATTCTGAAGATGGACTCTGCAATGAGTCCAAAATGTCAGAACTCAACTGTAAACAGGGATATATCCTCAAACACTTCAAGCAATAAAGTATAGATGATATCTGACAGTGATTTGAAATCACTATCATAAGAAACGTTTCGATACAAATCTGTAGATAGTATTTAATTCTAAGAAATTGGTGGATTATTTCAAAAGCAAAATAAACTCCTATTTTTTGTTCTACATTGACTACCATTTGCACATAAAAAATAAGTAGTCGTTCCAAATTTTTTTTTTTGAACTTCTAGTTTATAAATCAAGCTTTATTTTAACATATCTTTAAAAAACGCAGTATTCCCGGAACATTTTCAAAAGTTAAGTTGAAAAAGTTCTACTTTTTAAACTAATTTTCAAGTTTTCAAAAATTCAAAGTCACTTTTCTTAACTTTGAGGAGGTAAAATAATCAAAATAAGTTTATATTTATATTTAATGTGGAATGAGGGACTAGTAGATTTAATTAGTGAGAAAGAGGTATGGGAGGCTGTGGCATCAATGATAAAGAATAAAGCAATAGGACCAGATAAAGTGCCAGTAGAAGTATGGAAAATATTAGGCGGTGTTGAAAAAAAAAGTGAAAAAAAAATGTCGAAATTTACCGATTTTAATAATCGTAATTTTTTGAGAGATTTTCACCATTTTCAGAGAACTAGAGAAAAATTTTCAATTTTTGAGGGTAATGTCTTCAACTGAATACGATTTTTAATCTTTTGACGTATCGTTGAGAAAAATCGGTCCAGTGAGAGCTGAGAAATAGTAATGACAGACATAAAAAAAAAAACGGTAGCACAGTGGGGTCGAGGCACAGTGTAGACGAGGCATAGATGGGACAAGTATAGATGATATCTGACTGTGATTAAAATCACTATCATAAGAAACGCTTCGATGCAAATCTGTAGATAGTGTTTCATTTATAGAAATTGGTGGAACGCAACATCAACTCTTATTTCTTTGATTATATCCTGAATAGTAGTTCTTTGATTTTTAAATATAATATATGAATAAATACTAATTATAATTATTAAATTTAGTATGAAATTGATATTCAATAATTTAATATTGTAATTTATACGGAGAAATTATAAAAATAATAAAGAAGTTATATTTTGCTTTACTTTTACGTGTATAAAAAATTAAAGGGCTTGATACAATATTTTTCAATAAAAACTCTTTGTTACTATAAATAAATGCACTGGACTACAAGGAACTTTCATCAGAAACAAAAATATACTATTCTAAATCAACTATTCGCGATGCTTTCAAATGTGCAATTAGACTTTTTCTATCACTTCTAAGTTTAATATTATTAAAAAATAGTATTTACATAATATTATAAAAAAAAATTATTAAGAACAAAAAAAAAATTGTTTTAAATTAATACTGATTTTGATTATTAATATACAATATATAATAATAAATATATAATAAAAACAAACCCACAACATACAAGTGAAACTAATATAAGCGTGTTAAAAAATTGGTGCATTATTAATGCAGGCCAATTAGGACTGTTTTTAAAGTATGGAGTGCGGTTGCACACCCTGACCATACCCAAATGACGCCCCTGGGTTTTTACTGATTAAAGTTCAATCTCAATAGATAAATTAGTGTACAAAGATTGATATATATTAAAAAGTAAAAGCAACAAACATTTTTTTTATTAGATATACAAAAATTCAATACATTTTGAAAACTGTTGTCATAGCATGTTGTGAAATCAGAATTCTGATCGATAAGCGATTTCCGTTATTCCGATGATTGATATAATTTTCAAATAATAATAAAAATAATCAAAACGTATTGCCCACCTTCTAAATTTAATTATGTCATATTACTTATATTTTAAACCGGTTAAAAGAGAGTCAAAGCCATTTTTAGTTTCAGATTGTTTATATAGGATTTACTCAGTCTAAGGTATTTTAAAATCAAGAAAGCAAAATTAATAATTTTTAAGTTGTTTAACAAAGAAAATATTTACTGTGAAAAAAGTTAATAATTTTTCTCATTTTAAGGAATAAGGAGAAATTTGAAAAAAATGTATGGGAAGTTTACTAACTAATAGGAGTCTATGAAACATCTATTTTTATATTTGTTTTAGTAAACTTTTTATCTCAGCGATTACTATAGAGAAACAATTGAAGTTTTAATGTAACAATTAGAAAAACTACTTAAATAGTAATAAAATTCAGTCACGATAATGATGAAACAAAGAGTTTCCGTAACTTACAACATATCAAATCAAAAAAAAATTTTTAATTGGTTTCAAAACACAATACTTGTGTTTTGAAGATTTATTATAATATAATATGTAATATTGTTAATATACTATAAAAAAATTACTTAAAATTAAAAATTAAAAAATATTATTAATAATTTTTGAAAATGATAAATCATGCTTTATATTATATTCTGTATTAAGAATTGATAAGAGTGTTTTGCAATTCGTCGCATCTGTGTAATTTTTTCTAAAATTATTTGTAAAAATGTGACACAAATCCAAATTAGTTAAGTTTTTTAGTAACAATAATTAATACAAAAAATTACAAATTTATAATTTTGAAAAACTTGTTATTTTGAGGTAGAAATTGGCAAATTATATTATTTGTAGTAATTTCTTATGAAATTATAAATTCTTATTATATTTTATAAATAGCCTAGAGGATTATATGACTTTATCCTACCATTTAGTAGACATCTTGTACTAGTAATATTTAAGGAAATTTACACATAAACTACCTACAGCAAAATAATATTTTTATAAAACATTTTTTGGCTAAAACAAATGAAAAATACTTATAGTTAAATATTTAACTGTATATAACTTACTGGGGACGATTTAACAAAAAATGAAATCAGTTGTCACTATTAATAGTTAAATTTTAAAATAAGTTTGAATCACATAAAATTAAAGTAATATTGAACAATTAAAGAATAAAGTGTTCTTTTCTTCAAAATTAGATATTATATTATTATTTATTATGAGTGTATTTTATTAATAAGACTTTCTGCGAATTTTTAAAAATATATTCTGATTCCATACACTTATTTATGAGAATTAAGGACGATTGCTTATATTTAAAAAATATTTAAGTTTAAATAAATTCATTTATTTAATGAAGTTAAGTGATATTTACTCAAGTGTTTAAATTATATTAAGTATAATATATATATATATATATATATATATATATACATATAGTTGATAAATGTAATGTCTTTAGTAAGATTATTGCATACATAAATCATTAGTTATATACTAATGATTTTTGTTAAAAATATTAATTGAATTAATTGTGTTAAATTATCCCATACAGCTACTGCATGTAGATGGTGGTGCTGGAGCACTTCTACTAGGTCCAAATCCACCAAATCTTCTTTGAGGTCTTGGGGGTCTGAAAAATATTTTGATATTAAAAATAAAAAAATGAATTAGTATAAATATATGGTGATAAATTTAGAATTATTAAATCTAATTATCTATAACAGACGAAATGTTTTTAATTAAAAATATTTATTATGGCTGTACTACTTCACCTTTTAAAGGGGAGTAAGAAAAATTTGTTACTCTTTTAAATTCTTAAACAAATATTATTTATATTTAGAGATAGGGACTTCATTGCCTTAAAATGATCAAAATAAAAATACATTATAACAATAAAAATTTGGAAAATATGTTCTTAAAATTATATATATAATATTTAACTAAGATAGTACTAATAAATTATAGATAAATAAATATATAAATTATAGATAAAAAAACTGATAAATA